AACACCCCTCATGCACCAAATCCGCGCCTTCTACGTCTCCTCCTACCAGGACAAGTTCTTCGCCGAGCCCCCTCCCCCCTGGTTCACCGCGTTCATCGCAATGGAGCTCTTCTACCACGCCCCGCTGAGTCTCTGGGCCATCCCCGCTTTGATCCGAGGTAACGCCCCGCCCTGTGCCCTGTGCCCTCGTCCCTCTCCTCTGACTGATGACGGTACGGAGTAGATAACCCCATGGTCCCGGTGCATCTGCTCGCGTTTGGCGTGCAGGCCTTCGTGACTAGTCTGGCCTGTCTGGTGCAGGTGTGGAGCTGGCCCGATAGATCGGTGGCGCAGAAGCAGAGTATTACCCTGCTGTATGGGCCTTATGTTGCTCTAGGTATGGAGTGCTCCGCTGATTTCCTGGTTGTCGGTGATGGCGTGCGCTGGCGCTGACGCTGACGCTGACGTGGTGTCTATCTAGGGGCGTTTATGGCGCTGGATATGGTCTTTAGGTTGAGGGGGAAGTTGCTGGGGAAGAGGAAGCTGGCGTAGGCTTGGTTGGGGGATGGGGTGTAGCAATCGATACCTTGAGAGGGGTGTGTTTGCTGTATAGCAGGGTTGTTTTTACTGTGGACTGTTACCATTTGATACCCATAATGAAAGTTGATTGCAATGTTTGCTGCTGTTGTTTACGAGATCGCTGGGAACATATACATTGCCTGGTGGGGGAATAATTGACAATACTAATGCGTTCACGCCATGACAGGTTGAATTGACTTTCTCCAGCAACATTTTCTGAACTTTATCTTACAGACATGCCACAAGACTCAGAGAGTGCTATCTGTAAGCAGGGCACCTGGTATCATCGGTCAATTTCGGACGAGTCTAGAACACTACCAATGCAGGTGTCACAGGCAAGCAAGGGAATAGACCTCTCCTCTAAAAGTAGTTGCAGAGGTCTAGACGGACCAAGCGGCCTGGACGAGGAAGCCTCCGTATTGCGATTCTTCCTAAGATAACGCTAGGAGTCGGATGATCCCGGTATAGATGCATAGTAGTATGGTATCTCGGTGTTACAAAGAGGCCTGCGGGTGATATCACATGGTCAAATCAAAAAACCAATAGCGCCATCAAGGTCCCCATTTGCTGCATCCAATGCTCGGATGGCCTCCTCCCGAGTGAATCCGAGCTCAGTGATTTTCGCGACCGAATCCTGCGGCCAACGGGACGACGGCGCCGGGCGGATATTGACCCTGGGTGTCGACGATGACGGAGCAGCCGCTGATGTGCTAGATCCGCTGGCCTGGTGTGTGACCGCACCGGTTCGAGCGCCGACTTCGGCGCCGTCAGCACCCTTGACGATCGGCTCATCCTCAAAGCCTTCCTGCAGCTCCTTGGGAATATCGGCCTCACCGAGGAACGGCACTGCTTCGTCCTGGATGACCAGGGCACCCTTTTTGAGGTCAATGCACGCCTGATGTCGCCTCAACATATCCAACCCGAGAAGTAGATCGATGTGTTTCCCTTCCATGACGGTGAAGGAGCAGGGCAAAAACATGCTTCCAATCTTGATCTGCGCTGAGTGTACCCGACCCAGAATGGTTGCCGTTCCCACACCCTTTGCAATACCCCCGTATCGTCGGTCCACCAGTCGCATTATGTTGCACGCGGTCGCGCACTCCGGAGACATGATGGTGACCTGCGCTCCGGAATCGACAAACGCATTGACCTTGTGGCCGTTGACCTCGACAGGGATGTACAGCATGGTCACGCGACCAAATGCTGTGCTCTCGTTAGTCCAATACTGTTATGATAGCCACAGACCCGCTGCCACTTACATTCAGGATGATGCTCCATGGCGGTGTGAAGATTTTCGGTCACTGCATTCTGTCGAATAATCTCTTCAATCTCCCTCTGATTCTCCGGATTGAAAGGATCTGCATTCAGCATGGCGATGCGTGCCTCCTTTTCTGCTTCCAGTTGAGCTTCCCGGCGTTGTTGTGCCATCAGGACATCACGGAACCGCTGCGCGTCGTTGGCGGCATCTGCCAGCTCGGGGTTCTGCCGTCGGACAGCCTCTCGCACGCGAGGGTCACCCAGAATATGTAGTCGGATTGTCTCGGGATCGGGAGTCGTTGCCTGTCGCCGCTGAAGGTTCTGCGGAGCCGCTGCACTGGGGCCTCCTACGCTGCGAGCAGGGGCCTGAGGGCTCCGCAACGTAATGTGAACGCCTAGCATGTCCCCTTCCCCAATACCGATCTGCTCCAAGGTCTGTGCGTCATTTCCAAGCAGTTGGTTGTTGTATACGAGTCGCTGAGCATTTGTGGGTATCGATGTTTCGCTCTCCACGATAGCCTTGAGAAGCTCGACCGTCATATCCCCACCGACTTCAAGGGAAATGATGTCAGAGTCGGCCTGGTCCGGTCGAATAACGCTGACAGTGATGCGCCTGCGTATAGAAGAGAATCTGTCAGCAATAGTCGATGTAAGACCCGCTGGAATTCAGCCCGACCGACTCACATTGTGTTTGAAAGGTATGCGGTGCGGGGAAAGCTTCTTAGCTCGATCGCAAGTCCAACCGGATAATGATGCTGTTTAGTTTCAGGTTGTCTCTATAATAAGGCGTACTGTACAAGACGAGAATGACAGGCAGTGTAGCGCGAGAAAGTGATCGAAAAACGTTCTAAACAAGATGTTTATACAGGGATAAACGGACGATGATGAGAGGGGCGGCTGCAAAGAGGACGGGAGAAAGGAGAGAGGATGAAGGAGGGTAAGAGAGGGGAAGAGGTGAAGAGACCAAGGAAGTAGAAAGGGAGGACGACGGTTATAGGAGGCAAGTAGGTGACTAAGAGAGCTCGCAAGGAGGAAAGAAATCGGATGATTTGATGAGGGATATGATGATGTTGGGAGAGGGACAAAAGGCGATGCGCATCCGGTGATGTGCAGCTGATGGCGGACGTCAGCTCCCGGCAGCCCGCCCGATTAGGTATTATTTGTTAGTGACAGGCAGCCATCTTCTCTCCTCTCTTCCTTTTCCTTTCTTTCTACTTCTACACAACTCACTCGGGTCTATTCGGATTATTCATCCCTCTTCAATAGACGATGTTGATTCATAATCAAGTCTGTCAATAACCCATGTACTAGCTGCAAGGTTGCAAGGCTGCGGTTGGCACCGGTCCCATTCTAGAGCTGCAACGCCGAATGTCGGCACTAATGGTTGATTGAGCTTTGAATGAGACATGCTCTGTACATGCAACGGTTATATCAGCTTGCTCTTTCTCCAACAATCGCAATGAGGTGATCGTGGCGGATATTTTTGCCGTGCGCCTTAGATGCGACCGCCGGCTAGAGCCTCAGACGGTCAACACTTGTCTTTCCGAATGGTGCAACGTACCGTACCTAATTTTATTCTGGCCTGATGCCACGAGGACAACAGTTTCTGACATCATCAGCCACGCGCCAGGCTTATCTGTCAACTTTTGGTTCACGATAATCGAGCTGACGAGTAAACATCGAACTGTCAGGGACCGATGCAATCTGTCTGTGTCATCAGCGAACAAATGTCGACAGAACGGCCATAGAAGCATCCGTTATCTGGCTGTCGACCTCAAAGTGACTATGACCTTAAGACATTCGTCGATATTGATCGTCCTTGGCATACGGTGGTTTGTCAAATCTGTCGCCCCCTGTCAAATATAGCTTGGTTGCGTCGCCTGACCCCACCCTAGAGCCACAGGGGAAGCTCCGTGTTGGATCCATGCTGAACATCACTGACATGATGACATCCACTGCCTGGCCTCTTATCATACTGGGAAAGCAGACTGTAGCCCTGTTCTCGTTCTGGGACACCTTGATTATTGGGAGTGTGTACTTCACATGCGGGAGCGCAGTTGCCAAGATAGTACTTTCGGACACAAGGTCAGGTACTTTAGGAGGCTAGGAGGACACGTCGCTGCAGCTAGATTCTAGGGCTGTTTGACGCCGGGACGATTGACTCGGTTCCACTGCGGACGCTGAGAAGATTATTGGTGGGTTCCGAAATCACAGCCCATAATGGCCCTGAATATGAGCCGGGCCAAAATGTACACGCTCACAGTGCGTACAGGGATAGACTGGGCTTTTGAAGAGTCATGTGCTGAGCAGGAGTACTGGCGACTTCTATGAGCATAACTCTCCAGAGGAATGATGGTGGCAGGCAGAATATGATCAATGCTTGGAATTGTCTCAGGATGCTACATGCTATTGTTACACAGCTGAACAAGCGAAATGATACATACATTGGATTTTCATGGCGACTTTGCGCTCAAAGCCATGCGAGACAGCTCTGTCAAACTTCTACTATGAAAGTGCTACTCCAGACGCATGGCTGATGATACATCTGGGACACCCTCCCCCTCTACCACTTTAGCACCTACAATCTGATCGACCGGAATCTCTGCCAGTCGCGAAATGATATGCTGCAGGGTTGGCAGCGATTCCCAGCCCAGCGCATCAATCTCGAAGGAAGCTTTGGTCGTCTTGCGCACTCGCGTCACTTTGGACGGTACCACCTTGGATTCTGCTGCATGCGGTACGAAGACCGGATACTCAGCCTCCGCTTCTCCCTTGCAATCGCGACCCACTCTGGGAATATAACGGTGCACAAGGATACCATCGCTGGGTTCCCCACCGATCACACCGGGGTCATTTTCTGGGTTCACATCCTCGAGGCTTTCCAGATGGAAGTGGCCCCAGACGGCGCCTTGCCAACTCGTCTGAAGATGATAGGAGTCGCGCCGCTCATGTGCGTCGATGGCTGTGTAGAGCTTGGGCATGCCGAGTTCCTCCCTGCCACTGACAATAGGATCGGCCAGGTTTTCAAACAGGATAGGCATGTATGTGCCCTTGACGACCTCCCCATTGGCTTTCTTGTACTGCACGCCTTCGATGTAAAGTCCCAGATGGCGGTATCCGCCACCACCGAGCCAGTCCATTCCGTTCAGCGTTGTCTGTGAGAAGCTTGCATAGGCTATCGTCCCAGGACTACTAAAGCTGTATGACTCGTTCGGCAGCAGGTTTTGGAGCAATGTGCGGCTGGTCCTGAAGCGGATCGATGCTGTCTTGAAGGTTGATTTCAAAGACTTCACCGCACGGTCCTGGCCATAAAAGTCCTGCCTTGGGCCTGGCATTGGTCCGAAAACGATGGGCTGGCGCCAGTACGTCTGAGGATTCTGGGTCCAAAGATACTTGCGCAGAATCTGTGTGGAATGATCGAACTCGTCATGGCCGTAGATATAGTTCACTATCGCTTGAGCTGAGTTGAGTCAGACAGCTGTTCTTGAAGGTCAAACTCGGGTAGGGGCTTACATTCAGGTGGTGGCAGCGGTCCATGCGCGGAATCCCGTGTCATTTGCTGGATGGTAGTTGCTCGCTCATGGCGGGCTTGGTTATAGAGCTTCAGGCGCTCTGGAATCTCGTGCCGCTGAACACCCTTGGACAGCATAACACCAAGTGATACGCCGTCCTCGATAGCCATGGCTCCTCCGGAGCCACGATAGGGCAAGAAAGGATGGGCAGCGTCTCCAATGACAGCCATTGAACCCTCGACCCAGGTGGGAAGCGTGTCCATATCTAATAATGGCCAGATTCTCAGCGTTTCGGCCTCCGCCTTACCCAGCAGCTTGACCAGCAGCGGGTCAAAGTCCTTGTACACCTCGATCAAAGCATCCTTGCCAGCCAACTGATTCCAGTCCGTGCCTGTCTCAATGGTAGTCATTGTACTGGGATGCAGGCAGACGAAGTTGAGGATCTCGTTATTCTGGCACGGATAGATGACCAGTCTGCGATCGGGCGAGTCCCACATGTCGACCACACCGCGATCCTGTGCGAGTTTCCGAGTTTCAGGGTCGTCCAGTGCCGCCTGGCGTGACATCAAGAATCGGAATGCATTCCTGCCCGAGTTGTAGGGGGCAATGTTGCTGGCGCCGGACAGTTTGGATCGTGCAACGGAATGTACGCCGTCTGCGGCGATGACCACGTCCCCCTGAACCACCTGTCCGTCCGCGAGTGTGAGTGTGGCACGGTGTGGATCAATATCAACGACTTTGCTAGAGGTGTGCAGCTCAGCGGGAATGCCGGAGCCTGGTGCCAGAGCTGCAGCCTTGAGACCTTCATGGAGATGGGCGCGGTGTACAAGAAGCCATTTCTGCGGTATAGTTGTCAGCGCCGCTGGCTACCAAGCAGGACAATGAAAGTGACTCACGTGTCGCCACATGCTAGCGAGCTTCTTCACTGGAACGATTCCAAGAACCTTGCCGTCGGGTGACCGCTCGCGAAGCTGTCAAGTCTTTAGTCTCTGCCCTTGCTTGACCTGGACGATGTTGAGCACGAACCATTTCTGTTTCGACCGCCCCGAACTTGGTCGCATCCACCCCCAACCGTAAAAGGACACTGTTGGCATTTGGAGAGATGTGAATGGCCGCTCCGATTTCATTCGCAAAGCGGCTTCGCTCGAACAACTATGATCGTGTCAGACTTTAGAGCTCACTCCAGTTTCAAAGTTCACTCACGGTGACGCGATGGCCTTGTTGTCTAAGAGCAATGGCTGCAGTCAAGCCGCCAATACCAGCTCCAACAATCAAAATTCGGAGGCCATCCTGGGTGGCCCCATTGAGGTCGTTGCTCCCCATGGCAGTTGAATCTTACTGATCGGAATTGTCAACACGGAAGCTGTAGAGATTAACTTTTACTGAAACAGGACTTCACAAACATAGCATTGCCCCGATTTATTTGAGGAAGGCTGAACGCATAGTATTAACATGTTTGCCCTTCGGAAACCCTCATTCCATTCCCCCGCATCGACGAGGAGACATTGTGACCGGCCATCGGCTCTCCATTTCGGCTCCACATGCGGAGAGGATAGAGAGCGGTCGCCCACTGATGATGGCGTAAGCCCCGATATTTGGATCGGATAGCGAGGAGTTCATTGTGTTTATAATTTATTCATCGCACATGCTATCGAGGAAGTCCTTCCTACCCTCTCTTCTCAGATTTCCCGGAGAAAGCCAAGCGACGTCATGCCGAATCCAGTTCGTGAAGACCTCACCACGCGGGACGAAACTTCGTTCCCCTACATCTTTGAGCAGAATGTTACCATCCAGCTGAAGGATGGGTCCGGTCTGGTGCGCTGCAATGTCTATCGCCCCAAGGACCTTGAGAAGGCTCCCGTTCTGGTCACTTACGGGCCGTACGGCAAGGACATTCATTACCGCGAGTATGCATAGCTTCATTGCGACGCTGTTCATGTACCCAAATTGCTGACCTGGCTAGTTTCCACCCCAAGTCTTTCAGTGAGGTCAACCCCGAGCACCACTCGGAACATTCCGCGTGGGAGACGCCCGACCCCGGTTTCTGGACCAAACACGGCTATGCCATTGTTCGGGCGGACGAGAGAGGGACAGGTCAATCGCGAGGCAAGCTCGACACCATGTCACGCGAAACCAGCGAGGCATTTTTCGACGTTGTCGAGTGGGCAGCGGAGCAACCTTGGTCGACCGGCAAAGTCGGTCTGCTCGGTATCAGCTACTACGCAGGGAGCCAGTGGAGAGTAGCCGCGCGCCAACCCAAGGGCCTCGCTTGCATTATCCCCTGGGAGGGCATGTCAGACTACTATCGGGACCGTTGCCGTCATGGAGGCATTCTGAGTAACTCCTTCATCAAGTTCTGGTGGGACCGACAGGTTGTAAGCAACCAGTACGGTCGTCCCGGTCGCGCAGCGCGTAACTGGGGCCCTGATACCATTGAAGGCGACCTCCCGGAGGAGGAGCTGGTGGCCAACCGACAAGACCAGACGATCGACAACGCCGAGAATTACTTCCGCGATGATATCTACTACGCGTCCAAGGAATACACGCAGTCCGACATCCAGGTGCCATTGCTCTCCGTCGCGAACTGGGGTGGCATTCTTCTGCACCTGCGAGGAAATGTGGAGGGCTACACACAGGCAGGCAGCGAGCTCAAGTACTTGCGATTCATCACCGGTCGACACGACCTTCCATTCTACTACAAGGAGGAAGTCGAGATCCAGCGGAGCTTCCTCGATGCTTTCCTCAAGGGCGAGGATCGTGTCGGCTGGAGCAACGGAACGGCGCCCAAGGTAGACATGGTCCTCCGCAAGGGTGACGTTGGATTCGACAATGCGGAAGCCGAGAAACAGTTCCCTCGTCGTGTTGAGAATGAATGGCCTATTGCTCGGACGCAGTACACCAAGTACTATCTGACATCCGACCGCGAACTGGTCACTGCGCCCCGACAGGAACGACCGGTGAAGATTACCTACCGCGCTCTGGGAACATTGGACAACCCCCAGCTTGTGCAATTCACCACTGCGCCATTTGAGCAGGAGACGGAGATCACCGGACACATTGTCGCGCATTTGAATGTGTCGATGAGTCCTGATCCGGGTGCACCCACGCTGCGTGACATTGACCTGTTCGTCACGCTGCGGTACATCTCGCCCGAGGGCAATGAGGTCTTCTACACCGGCACGGCAGGTGACCCGGTGCCCCTCTGCAAGGGGTGGCTGCGCGTCAGCATGCGAAAGGTGAACAAGGAGCATCCCCGTCATCGAACCTATCTGCCCCACCGCGACTACTACTCCACAGACGTGCTGCCGGTGATTCCGGGCGAGGTGTACGGCGTCGATGTGGAGGTGTGGCCCACGAATGTGGTCGTGGAGAAAGGAGGCAAGATTGTTTTCGAGGTTTCATCTGGGGATACCCAGGGCTGTGGTATTTTCCAGCATAACTCCCCGATTGACCGGTAGGCAGCCTTTTCCCGCAGCTCTTGATCTATGCTAACTTTGGGACAGAGCACCGGAGAAATTCCAGGGTCAAAACCATATTAACTTTGGACATGGCGACAACTATGTAGTCCTGCCCATCATTCCCCCGAAGGCATAGACAGATATGACTGAGATTATGTAGTTGCATTCGTATGGATAAGATCTATGATTACATGAATCGGAAGAGTACAGAGTACCGCTGTCGTGCCTGTAAATGTAAGATCTCCACTCCCGATGTGGTCCCGAGACGATAGTATCGAGTTGGAGTATCAAACAGTATAACTACCCCCGATCCCCTCAGTACCACAGTACCACACCAGACACAAGCATAAGCCCAGTCATTCTACCCAAACACCAAACCACCAAACCAGACACTACAAAATGTCCTCCCAACCCAAGACCCTCCGCCCCCTCAAACGCTACATCACCACGCACGATGCCTCCGGCACCGCCATCTTCTCCCGCGCCCTCTCCGAAGAAATGCCCGTAACCGGCATTCCGGACGGCGCCGACTTCTCGCTCGCCTACACCTCCTCGCACTTCCCCGCAAAGCTCAACCACGAGGCCGACATCCCCGAGTACGCGAACTACCTGTCCAACCCGCCCGGCATCGTGATCAGCACGGGCTCCGTGTGCCGGATCGTGGACATGCGGCCTGGGGCGACGAGTCCAATGCACCGCACCGTGAGCCTGGACTATGGGGTTGTGCTGGAGGGGGAGGTCGAGCTGATCCTGGACTCGGGGGAGACGAGGCTGATGAAGAGGGGGGATGTGAGTGTGCAGCGGGGGACGAACCATGCGTGGAGGAATACGAGTCAGACGGAGTGGGCGAGGATGCTGTATGTGCTTATGCCGGCGGAGGAGCTTGAGATTGGGGGGAAGAGGCTGGGGGAGGAGCTGGGGCATATGGGGGTTAGGGCTAGTACTTGATTGAGGTTTGAAGATGAGGTGATTATAGAG